AAAAAAAAAAAAAAAAAAAAAAAAAAAAAAAGAGACGGTGACTCACCTCACTTTGGGTACAAATGTAGCATGTTGATGTGATGTGATTGGATTCTAAAGTATACGTATGTAGATGCGCAAGTCCGGTAAGGTAACACAACAGATGGAGCACGCAAGACCGAAACAAGACAGAAAAAAAAAGCGGTGGAAATAAAAAATGGGAGAAGCTATATTTTTCCACGAATAATTCATACAAAACGCCCTTATTCTTCTTCTTCTTCATCTTCATCTTCTCCTTCTCTTCCATCTTCTAAGAAAGCACGCGTGTCTACAAGCCCATTTTTCTTTTTTCAAAACACAGCCGTGTGGAAAGGAGAAAAAAAGAGACTCCAATCTCATCCCATAAGCAACCTCAGCATACTGCCCTTATTCTCACCCTCGCCCTTGTCGGCGCCCTTGTCGGCGCCCTTGTTCGGCCCCACGGGACTCGTAGCCGCAAAAAACAAGACCTTGATTGCAATTGCAAAGCCCGCATGCAGGACAAAGACAACAACCAGCAGGATCTTTGACGTTTTTGCTTCGGTCGAGTTGAGCACGGGGAAGAGGTTGCGTAGCAGGAACGTGGCGCTGAAAGCAAGACCAAGTGCCACGACTGTGAAGTTGACGACTGAGCAAAAGCGAAGTCATTAGTACATACTCAAGCATTTCATATCTCGCTATAACTGCGTAGGGGACAGCAAAAAAGAACTTACTACTCCACGGACTCCACGCAACAAGCGACACGGCAATCCAGATCAAATTCGCATAGCCATACAAGCAGCAGCACTCGAGCAGATTCGCGCTCTCACTGCCATACCACTTGAGCACGCCCCAGAGGCCCACGGGCACAAATGCCGTATACCCATATACGAGACCCGCGGCGCCACTCAGAAGCTTGAAATCATATGCGAAATGCTCCTGGCCCTTTTGCGCCAGATACTGATTTATCGTGCCGGTGAGGAAGAGGATGACAATGACGGTTG